GAATCTTATTTTCTAACTCCATTTATATGTTGTTAAACAATGTGGGTCATATCACTGTTCCATACAGGACTTCACTGGTGACCTCCCTCTGTTGAGAAAATTAACTCTATTCCTTCCTTTCCCCCACCTCATCTTTTCCCTCTGTGTGAGGCTCATCCCTGTTATCCTATGTTTGCATAGTTCCTTTTAGTGTTTTGGTGAGGGACAAAATTTCAGAAATCCAAACAGATAATTTAATGTGGATTTACTCTCCCCACATGCTTGTTGATCCCCGGGGGGGGGGAGTTTTGTGAAGTAAAAATTTCTTTTTATAAAACCTGTGTTTCTTGTTCAGCATTTTGTATTTATCCACATGTCCACCAATTCTGTTCTGCACTGTAGTTTCTACAAATTTGCCTGAGGAATATATCAGAATTACCGCTCTGCTGGTGCGTACTTGAATTCTCAGTTCTCTCTGGAGCTCTTATTAAAAATAGCTATTATATGTGCTTCTCATTCTTCCTGTAGTATCGAGGCTGTTATAAATAAGAGGCTTTACTTTACAACTACATAGTTTGCCTATTTTATTCTTCTGTACCTGGGTCTAAGTGACTTGTCATTGCTCATTTTGTCAGCTTTTATGAATTCTACTGTCAGCACTTAGATTTGGTATAAATCCTCTGAAGCAGAGTTGAAAGAAAATTATTTCATGAGAACTTCTTCAAGCATGTCAGCGATGAACACAGATGCAAAAAGAAGTCATTTACCTTTCTGGGCTGGCTTATCTCTCAGTGCTCTTATACCATGATGATCTAGAGAACATTGCAGACTTGCTGAGATACTCCTTGCTCTGCAGATCTTCAAAAGAAGCTTTTATCGCTTTTCACTTCAGCAATCTCAGTCCAGAAGGCATTATTGTTATCAAGTCCAGATAAGAATATGGTGGTCAAATATTTTTTCTTTTCTATTATTTTTTCATTAGATTTCAGCTTTGTGAAGGATGAAATGAGAAAGGATGCTTTCTTATTTCAAATAACTTCTTTTGCCATCCTTTTTAACCTTGCCAGCTTTCTTGCTTTTTCTAAAGTCTTTTTGAGTCTTTTTTCATATGTATATTTTTCCATTCATAAATGCAGCTTGGCTCTGACCTTGGTTATTTTTTCTCTGGCTACCCGTGGAACAAAGCTGTTTTATAAGTGCAACATAAAAATAGTTTCAAGTTGATCAGGATTCTGAATCATGATTTTTTTTTTGTTTGTTTGTTTGGACTTAACCAGATATGCAGAGGCAATTCTCAGTAATTTAGACGTCCTTCAGGTTTCTTTAGGTGTAATTTAAGTATAATCAGTGACAGGAAAGAGTTGTGTTTGTGCATTTTTCTTCTGTAAACTATTTAACTTTTTTTGTTCTTCAGTGTTTGCAGGGTAATACATCTGAACAAAACTGTTTTAGACAAAGGAAATTTAAGGCTTTAATTCTAGTGACGTGTTTTCTAGCTCCAGTATATAAAGGCTGTTCTTCAACCTCTCTTCACAGTATTTGTTCTTCAGTTTCCTTACTTAATATGTACAAGTAGACATGAATTTCACTGGGTTCAGAAGCATATGCTAAAATTTTGGTAACTTTTGAATGGGAAATAAACATAGTACTTAATGAATGTTGTGGGTTTCAATGAAAGAGTACATATTCTTTGTATGCCTGGGGAATTTGATCTGTCTTCTGTCTTTGTCCTGGGAAAAGTTTACCACAGGGTGGCTTTAGGCATAAACAACTTCAGGTGACTGCCTGGGGCAGCAGAACAAGGTGGGATTCAGCCCTGGGAGTCGTTAAGCCTGAGCCTCTACAGGGCTCGGGGCTCAGAGCAAGAGTGCTCCCTGCTTCTGTTGAGTACTGCTGTGTAGCAAAAGGCTGCTGTAAGCTGCTGTGGCTGTCATTCCTTCCTCAGTTGCTTGGATTTGTGTCTTCAGATGCATTTATATTATTTAACACATAATCCTCAATATATACGTTATAGTGCAGAAGTGAGGGTTGCTGCAACATTGCTGTGCAACGAGCCCTACCAGGGTTTTCTAAAAAACAAGGTAAATTCTGTGCTGAGTGTTTCTCAGAGATAGAATAGAACAGGATGTTTCCATTGGAAGGGGCCTACAATGATCATCTAGTCCAACTGCCTCCAGTTGAAGGTGTGAATTGTGGAGAAGAAAAGATTTTTTTCAGCTTTCAGCTCAGAAAACACTGCTGTATCCAGTCCGGTATGCTGCTTCATACTACATCTGCTGTTCTGTAGTGAGGTCCTCAACATGGGCTCAGGTACTGGCTGCCTTGCCAGATCCCATCAGGGAGGGGGTGATTAATGAGGCCCCTTTCCCTGCTCATAGCCCCTTTGAAGGGAGCTCCCTTTGTCAATGGGAGCAGAGCCCATCCTCAAATGCCCATGATTCTGGCACCTCTCAGGGAGCTGCTGAAGGAGAAGGATGTCCGTCTGGGGAAGCTGTTCTATTTTCATCACAGTACTGAGCTTTGTTTATGATATTGAGAAGACATGAGCCAGTTCTAGAAGGCAAACATTATCCTTTGTATGTACTGCTGTCAGTGTTTGTGTCTTCCTCTCTAGGGTTATTAAAGTCCTTCCTACAGTACTTGTATCTAAGGAAGTAAACATCAAGTCATGCACACTATAGCTTTCTTTATGCAAAGTAAATTCTATTAGGACACTAGGAAGTCATTTCTGAGTTTGCATGAGGCAGCTACAGGGAGATTAGAGCACATTCTTTGCTCTAAGCATGTTGGTTTTCATATGTTGCATTTCAGCATAGGCTACGTTACAGATTTAATGTTTCATCTATGTGCCTTTAAGGTCAAGCAGGGAACTACCTTACCTCTTCAATAGAAAATATTTCTTCTCCTTTTACAAGACTTACGTTGATACTTATGTAAAAATTGAAAATGTATTATTCTTACACAGTACTTGAATTTTGTGTGTATATGTGTGGTAACTACAGAGGTATTCCTTTTCTATCATAATCAAAGCCTCATTTCTAGATTTAGGTGATTTGTGATCTGGGATTCTTGAGAATTTCCTATATATTGTTCTAGGACAATGATCTGCTTCCTGCTTCCTCTTTCTGACCGGGAATTTCTTTTGCCTTTCCACAGATAAAGGAAACAGTCGTCTTCAGCTCTTTATCAGTCTCTTTACAAAATTATTTTTGAAAATGCTCTGTGAAACAACACAGCACTTAAAATAAAAATGCTAGGAAATATGGTGGGGTTAGAAGTGCTTCACAGGCAAGGACAGGGGTTCCATGATCTAGCATATTTCTTTCCGACCTTGTTCCATTATCCTTTCTTTTCCTTCAGCACAGTAGGGTGCGTTTGAGCTTTATTAGCTCAGGACTGCATAAGCCAAAGCTCCTTCTTAGATAAAGTCTTCTGTGTATATTTATGCAACAGCTTTTACATCAAAACAAAATGCATATTTTATTATTATGTAGTGGTTTCCTTGGTTTTAATGCTAAGCTATTTGATTAAAACCGTATGCTTTTGGAACAGTTTTATTGAAAACATACTGTTTGAGTTACAACACATATGATTAAACATTTGGCCTTTTGAAAACCTCAGAGTTAATGTCTGATTTTAGAATGTAACTTGTCTGATGTGTGGGGTTTGGTGTTTGGTTTTGGTAAATAAGCGTTGTGATTTTTTTTTTTGTCTTCTAATAGTTTTCCACTTTTCTTTGTTGGAGCTTTAGCACACTGTTGTTTTGAGTACCCATAATACCTTAGAAGTGTTATTGTTTAACTCTGACATTAACTAAAAGCTGATGAGAACAGTAGATTCATGCATTGTGGGACATACCCATGAGCCTTGTTTGAAACTTAGGTCGTCTTTTTTTTTTTCTTTTTTCTCCTCTTTTTAAAATTTTTTTCTCTTCCCGCCCCCCGTAATTCAAATGCTCTCAGGCAATATGACAACTTGAAGAATATAAAACTTGCAGATCTTTTGGGGAAAAATACGGTACCTATTGGCAACTATTCTCTCTCCCCCGCTGCCCCCTTTCATTGCACAGAACTTGTTCTAGTTGGAAAAGCTCTGTGGCTTTGTGTTTGTGGCTTACAGAAAAAAACATAGTAAGACTAGGAAACTCATTAAAGTGAAATGTTGATTTAATTAATACCAACAATATTCCTCTAAGAGAGATGGAGGTGATAAATTGTGTCCTAAAGGGCTGTAGTGGCAAATTTTCTATTTAAAGATGCTAAAATGGAACTAACAAAAAATATGCAAACAGATGTCAGAAAGGAAAGTAATAGAAGCAGGAAATCATTTCAGGCACAACAGTCTGTAATTCAGAATTTCCTTCATCCTTGAGTTAAGGATTTTGCTCCCTTTCACTGGCTTCAATTTCGTCTTCTTGGTTCTGACCACTCTGTATGTCCAATTTGCTATTAAATATATTGAAACAAGTCTTTGGCTATATACCAATAAACCTTCCATTCTGTGGGGTAACTCAGTTTTTCAAAGCAGGTGAAAAGGGAATCTTTGTAAGACATGTTTCTTCTTTTAAACTTGCAGTCAGATTCAGACTTGTTCTCCTTAGTTTTATATCTGATACTGTTGACTTTATTTGTTCTGCAAAAGTGTCCTACATTACAATAAAAAAAAAGTTTGCATTACAGTAGACAGTTATAAATTCCTATGTTGTTTACAAAATGAGCAAATGTACTTACGTTGTTCAATCGATCTTTTATTATCTTACTACTTTATTAATAAATACCGAGCTTTTTTCATTGATGCATTACAAATTCAAGTCGCTGATGTAAAAGAAGCATATATATGTCTATTGCTAAATAGTTCCTTTTAATATTAAAATTATTGTAATTTTCAGTAAATGCAGTAACTTGTGGCTTCTTTGAAAGTACTGTTTGTCAGTTGGTTTGTCACTACATTGCAATACATGAGCTTAAAATAATAACTGACTGTCTACAAGAAAGAAACTGACTTCTAATTTTTTTTTGCAGATCATGTTCAAAATGAAGAAAACTATGCACAAGTACTAGATAAATTTGGAAGTAATTTTTTAAGTCTGGATAATCCAGATCTTGGCACAGCTTTTGTAAAATTTTCCACGCTTACTAAAGAATTATCAACGCTGCTGAAGAACCTGGTGAGGAGTTTCAAACTTTCTTAGTTTTTTAGTTTTTCCCAAAATAAAGTACAATACAACACCTTCATGATCCTGATGAGAATTTGAGATGCTTTCAGTTTTTTTTCAAAAACATAATAATTTCTGCAGAGGTTACCTCTAAAGGGTGTTATTACACACTCGCTGTGTTCAATTGTTAATTGGCAGTTAAGAAGAAAAATATAAATGTTGAGACATCACTTGAGGCATCGTTCTCAAGTGATTGACGGTGTTATATATCTCTTCTTATGGACCTTAATTTTAAATCATTCCCTGACTTGAAGTCTTTCCAGTTAAAAATCCAATACCATTAGTTATGGCTTTTTTCTCTTATCTCAAAAAGAGAAACTTCCACTCTTTGGAAGAAAGATAACACCATTTAAGCACGCTCCCCAAATAGTTATCTTTCTTCCAAAGAGTGGAAGGTTCTCTTTTTTTGGTAAA